GGGATCCGAACCCTTGGCGGGAGCACCACCACGCTCCCAAGCGGCGCACTGTAGCAGTGCGCCACCGGGCCGGCCCCTAGAAATGGATTTTTTAAACATGACTCAGAAACTGTTAAACATAAAGGAAAAGAGAAATTTTACTACTTTAAAATTAAGAACTCTCCACCAAAAGATACCATAAAGAGAGTGAAAAAACAAGTCAAACAAACTGGAAGAAGGTATGTGCAACATATAACTGATAATAAATTATTATCCAGAATATATATAAAAAGCTTTTATTGATTAGAATAAGAATACGCAAAATATTTATCCACTCATTTTATGGAAAAAGAAACATGAATGACCAATAAACATGAAAAAAATTTCAAACTAATTAAGTAACTAGGGGTATATGAATGAAAATCACAAGGTACCATTTCATCTATACTAGATTAGCCAAAATTAAAAAGCCTGACAGTAATGAATATGGTAAGAATATGAAACCTCATATGCTACTGGTGAATATGTAAACTAACTTGGCATTTTCTTGTAAAACTGAACATTTGCACTCGTAGGTATAAGTTCTGCCACCTAGAGAATCTGTGGCACACAAATATTCACAGCAGCATTGTTTGAAATAGTAAAAAACTGGAAACCATCCAAATATCTATCAACAATAGTGATGAACAAATTATGGTAGATTCACAAAATGGAAGCCTAGCTGTGAAAAGGAATAAATGACAGCTATTGCATCAACAACAATGAATCTCGACAATATTGTATTAACAAAAAATCCAGTGGTTAAGAACATATACGCAAATCCATTCAGGTACAGTTCAAAAAAGAAACAACGTACTCTTTAAGGAAACATAATATGGTAAAACTTAAAAGAAAAACAAGGCAATGATTAACATAAAATTCAGGACAGTGATAGCTATGGGTATTGTTGATAAGGAAGGAAGGGACATCACCTAGGAAGGCTTTGATGGTTCTGGTAATGTTCTGTTTCTTATGCCAGGTGGAGGGTATATAATGTGTTCATTTTATTTATGGTTTAAATGTACACGTACACTACCTATCTTCTTTTGTATGTATATGTTTCACAATTAAAAGAAATGGGAAAAAAGACTGAACACAGCACATTTGTAACAACATGGTTACTACAAAGAGGAAAGCTAAAGAAATTAGGAAGTTTTAATATTATGAAGAATGAAATTGGCAAGCCACAGAACTGCTGATTTGATAGTTCATAATTTATGTCAAAGTGGATAGCACGTTTTTCAAATATTCTTGTCCTAACCCTCAAAACCTCAATTGCTTCTTTTAAAATAAAGAAAAAGAAAAAGAAATTCAAGCCCTTCATATAGAGGGATATGAATGTATATCTAAAGTGCAAAATGCTCCTTGATCACTAGCTGAATCTCATCCCATTCCCCAGAACTGATCATTATTTAGGGTGACACCCTCCAGACCTTTTTCTTTTCTTTTTTTTTCCCTTTTTTCGTGACCGGCAACGTATCGCAACCCTCAGTGTTGCGCCCGTACCAGACCGGACCGGGACCGGCAACGGGATTGCAACCCTCGGTGTTGCGCCTGCACCTCGCTCAGCCAGTGAGCGGCCGGTCTGCATGTGGGATCTGAACCCTTGGCGGGAGCGCCGCCGCGCTCCCAAGCAGCGCACTGTAGCAGTGCGCCACCGGGCCGGCCCTCCAGACCTTTTTCTATGCATTTACACCAGAGGCTTTTTTGTGTTATTGTTGCTGTTGGTTTTTATGGCTTATACTCTGACTGTGGTTTTCATCTGTCAGTAACTATTTCCTTATTGATAAGTGTTTTGGTTGTTTCCATATTTCTGCTATTACAGACATTATAGAAATACTCTTTTACAGGTATCTTTGTATACTTGTTCAAGGATTTCTGTAGGACAGACTCTCATATGGAGAATCTCTGACTATTAGTAAGTTAAATACAGACTAGAGTTGCCCACCACAAAAACAATACCAAGTTAAATTTCTGCCAGCTGTGAATGATAATGTGTTTCCCTACACCATTACCAATGCTATATTTTCAATCTTTAAAATTTTTGTCTAATGGCAAAAAAAGTGTCTTCTGTAATCTGCATTTTTTGGAAACTAGTGAGGTTGGTCATCATTACATGTTTATTAGCCATTTGTATTTGATCTCTTATTTATCTTCCTTTTCCATTTTTCTGCTTTTCTGTTTTATTCTTACTGAGTCATGTAAAATCTTTATAGGAGTATATGTTACAGATTTTTTTTCAGATGCAGGTTTGGTTTTTAAAATTTAACTAATCAAACAATATTTATTCACTCTTTACCATGTAGTTATAGGTTCAAACATATTTGTAAACTTTTATTTTTTTTACAAAGAATATACTTCCATTAAAAACTTTTTTTTTACAATGAATACACTTTCATTTTTAAAGATTGAAAAAGAGATATAACAAAATAATAGGCTCCTCTCTCTTTCTTCAGCCACTCTACCTTCCCAAGCTTACTCTGCTCCTCTTCATAGGCAAAAAAAAGTATATAGAGAATACTAAAATATAGTTATGTAGACTTGCAGATTCTCCCCCAGCATTTATATGCATATATGAAAAGGTATATTTTCCTTAGTGATTTTTTTCTCCCCAGCTTTTTATTTTGAAAATGTTCAAACTATAGAGAAGTTAAAAGAATGCTATAATGATTACCCATATACCATTAATCTACATTTTGCATTTGTTCGATCTCTTTGAACATTCAAGTGTAAGTTGTAGACATTATAACATTGAACCCTAAATATTTCAACATGGATCTCCTAAGAACAAGGATATATTCCCATACAACCACAATGTAGTTATCACATCCAAGAAATTTAAGACACAACCATATAAAGTCCATATTAAAATTTCTTCAATTGTCCCAATAATGACCATTATAGCTTTTTTTTTTTTTTAAATTTAACTCTAGGATTCACCAAGGTACATGTACTGCATTTAGCTGTCAAGTCTCTTTAAATCTAGAACAGTCCTCCTGTCCCTCTACCCTTATTCCACCTGCCAAATTTTGGTCTTCTTAAGAATCCAGGCCAGTTGTCTCACAGAATGGATTTGATTGTTTCCTCACCATAAGACTGAGGTTAAATATTTTGGCAAGAACACAACATAGATGGTGCTGTATTTATGTAGTGATTTAAATCCTTTATCTTTTGCTTATATATAGCAGATATTTTCTTGCAAATTTGTTTGCATTTCAACTTTGAAAATATTTAAAAAGTTTTTCCCTTCTATTCTTTTAGGTCTATGCCATATCTCTTCTATCCCAAATTATTACTAAATATAGGCATGGACCTGTCTACAACCTCTATCCTGTTCTTGTAATTCTTTAACAGTAACAGTTTTAATTTAAAAAGATGAGGAATACAGTCCATTTCATTCGTGCTCAATTTGCTTTTCTCACAACCCACTATGCTATAATTTGTAAACATTTATTTTATATAAATTATTTATCAGAAACCTCGTATAACTAAAAACCCAAACTATAGCAATGCCAAACACAAAATGACATTTAACATATGCATTAGATGACAAATTCAGTATCTTCTAACTTCTCTAATTTGGTCTCTTTCTAATTAAAACTAAGAAAAAACAAACATTTTGAATAACTACTTCTTTACAGTAATCAACACAGTGAAATCCAGCCAACAAGTATCTCAAAGTGGCTATGGTGAAAGGTTACTTGCTCTAAATTTAAAGACAAAGGATTTAATTTAACTGTATCCAACCTTTTTCTTTCCCTCTGAGGCAATTACCCTGGAAGACGCTCTAGCAAAACTAATCTGTGCAACTTTGTAGTGTATGTGGGCACTGGAGTCAATCTGAATTCAAAAAATAAATATTCACAGAATGGATATTGATCATTACTCAATCCTTTATCTCAATGAAAGAGATATCTAAACAATTATAACATAATAGTGAGCAAAAACAAAACAAACAAAAAAACCACTGCTTAAGAATATATATGATTCTATTCAGGTACAGTTTAAAAATGAGACAATGTATCAATTAAGGGAACATATATGGTAACACTGTAAAGAAAAGCAAGGCAATGATTAACATGAAGTGCAGGTTGTGGATACGGTTGACAAAGAAGGCTATGTTATCTTGTAGCAATTCCTCATTCACTTAAATGAAAGATGTCCTCTTCTATACCTTTGGTTTGATTAAAAGACTAAAAGTTTGAGAATAAAGAACTTCTCTTAATTATACAGTGTCATTTGGGTAATTTATAAGTAGAAAAGGATTTAAGCTTTTCTTTATTGGCTTACTTTTCCTCAGTAGCGTAAAAACCACTTATTTTTTTCCCCAAAATACATAATTTAGAAATAAAATCCCTGTCAAAGGGATTTCTAATAATGCAATATGGAAAATTATTCTTTTAAAGACTGTATCACTTGCACATAAAAACAAAACGATATGCAAAAGACAACTATAGGAAGACTCTACATTGAGAAAAGAGCATCAAGAGGCTTCTTTTAAGTAATATGAAGCACAAGAAAGCAGACTGGAGTAACTATTGTGATCACTAATTTCTCTTCATTGCTGGGAAATTCACTGAATCAGAGATTGAGGTGGAAAGAACTTTGGATATTGGTCCCAGATTTTCACATTTTATGATAAGGAAATGAGACTTCAAGGCGATAGTTTAGAAACTCAGGTCTGAGAAAGCTTTGATACCAAGATAGATATTTGTAATGTACAGTTTTGATATTTGCAATGAAAAACAGTACTCAAAAAAGAAAATTCAAAATACGGAAGTTATTCCAAAACCTTTCTTGGAATATTCATAATTCCATTATAGTATTCATACTAGAAATAATGTAAGAACTTCTGGATTAGAATATGGGAAAAGACAAACAATCAAAACCCACAAAAAGACTTAGATCCAATTAAGACTACTTCCTTACAACCCTGAAGAGTCTGTGAAAGTATGCTACAAATTCAGAGGAGGAATACTTACATGTTTTCTTTCTGTAGCCTTTAGAGATTTGGCAGCATAGTAAAAAAGCTGTGTCCCACACAAAGCTGCCCAATATTTTGTCCAAGCTGCTACCTGGAGAGGACAAACACATAAATATACTATGAAGATGCTACTGGCTTGTCTGTGCCAATGATCCACTGTACTTCACTTCAGCCATTGAAGGCCTAACCTTAGAATTGAGTTACATCGCTTTTCAAGTCTTTACCTCAAATATTCCTATCACTTCCAGCCAATATACTCTAGTACTCTCATTGAGACAATTCTTGATCTTATCAAGAATCCTATGACTTTTTAATATGTAGTATTCCTATTGCCTCCTATTGCCCCCAGCCCCCACCGCCCACACTATACATTCCCTCCCCTTTCTTCATATCTAGCCTATATTTCATAGTCTAGAACTGTATTCATTCCCTTCCAAATACTTTAATCCCATTGCCCCTCCCTCCTGATAAAACCCTAACCCTAGCCATATCTAATAAGCATTTGATTACTTGGCACCACATCACAGAAGCTGAATATTGCTGGAGAAATCACACAATTACAGAGATTTAAATAAACTGACAAAACTGATTGAATTCCATTTTAAGGATTGCTGCTATCTATTTTCTATTTTTCATAAACTTATTACTACAATACTTCCTAATAACATACTTCCAGGGTTCTATAAAAAACAGTTTTGTACAAAGAACTATATTAGGAGATAAAGAGAAGCACAGGAGTACCTTGATTTAAGCACCCTTACTATATTATTTAACTGAAAGCTATATGGCAGGTATAATACTTTAAGAACCATGCTGAGGCAAATGTGTACTTTAAATTATTTCAAGTCTACTATATATTTGGCTTTATTTCATAGAATTGTCTTAGGGTCTTATATATTTGCATATTTTTAGAGGTATGTTAAAACATAATATAATGAAATCTTACTGTAGGCTTTTTGCCTTCTTTTAACAAAGTTTTTCTCCTGAGAACACCTTGAATAGTAACAGCTCCTGGATATAAATGTACTGCCAAATCTTCTGATTCTGCAGAACTATAATAAGGAAACGAAGAAAAGAACATGTAAGAGCTTTTGTCTATAATAACTATTCAGTAGGAACTTACATAAAATGTAATTATTATTAATTTTAAAACTTTGTTACTTTATTCAGACCTGAGAAGACATTGACAATTTTAAAGGTTTATTGATCTGAAATTTATAAGCTGTCACAAAAGTTAATTAGGAAGTTACTGAAGTCAGCAAATGGCTAAAAAACACACTTTATTATGTATTTGAACAAGTATAATTTAGAAAGGATGCAATAATTTACTTTAGTCAAGATTAAATTAAGAACTTAAGATTTTTCTTCTTCTTAACATGCCCCACTGCATCACTGTTGTAACCTTATTTTCCCATTAGAAACTTTAAGTCCTGGTAGGAAAGATGAGGATTCTACTGTCAAAAGTACTTAAGTACACAAAACTGAAAATAAAAATAGAAGAAGCTCAAAAAGAAAGAGAGAAAAGCCATGCTTAATTCTAAAATAGGTAAAAGCATTAATAAGGTAATAACATATTTTAAAAAACTGGCTTTCTGCAATAAATTTGAATGACATTTAAATGCTGTCAATGTATAAGTGTTTGATTATGGCCTAACCATTCTCCAAGAAAGGAATAACTCCCAAACTCAAGATTTCCTTTACATTTATCTTTAAAACACCATCACAAAATAACCAAACATTTTAGTATCTTTTCCCAGTTGATTTAGGTAATATATTTAAAATAAGAATGATTTGTACATGAGCCATTTATAACATACACACTGATAAAAAATGTCATTCTCTGGTGATTTGACATGAGTTACAGAATTCTTACATGAGCAAAGAGAAGTGAAATTTGCCAGTTTACTCCTTTATGATTATTTAGGTGTCTTCAAAGTGACTTAAGAACCTGGAAACCAGTACATATTTCATGCTAGAGCTATTTATATGCAGGGAGGTATACACAAAGAGATTAGACACCATCAAATTCACATAAAGTTTGCCATTTTGTTGTATTGTGAATTGGTTGATTACCCATTACCATTAATCCCCATGTCCCAATCAATGTACAATCCTTACTTGCCTCCACAGCTAATACAGTATATAGTGCAGAAAGAGATCCAGTTTAACTATATGAAGAATTAAGTGAATGTGAGTTTAAACACACAAATATTATTTAATGAAACAGACATATAAAATTCAGGATCTGTGTTTTATTTGAAAGAATTCTTTAAAAAACAAATCGACTGTAGACTTAGCAAAGTAAATGCTTTGATTGCAGCTTAGGAATAAAAAGCAGATTTTTATATTGCTCATCCAATAACTAGCAGCATTAGAAAGACCTGTGCAGTTAAAAGGCTACCAACTTGAAAGCATTTTAAAAATGTGACATAAAGATGCAAATTTTAGCAATTAGATCTGTGGATCAGAAAGAATAGTTGAAATTTATCTCTACATTAAATCTTGGAAAGAAAGTTTTCCTGGGCAATTTTAGTTTTTATATAAATTAGTTGAGAAAGAATAGAAATAATGTCAGACCGCACCCATATAAGCCAAACACCAACACCAGAGCAGAGTTCTGTGACCCCTGAATGCAGGGGAATTGTACCTGCTGGCCTTCATGTGGCTTCGATAGCCATTTCGTGCCACTCTTGTCACCGGGCCGAGAGAATGGTATAATCTGTTCCTGTTGGATTCCATTATAAATTGTATATATTACATATACTTTTATTCACACAATCATCAATACCAGAACACTGTAACAGCTTCTTCGTGTAATATAGCTTTCTAAATCTTATAAAAGGTCAGTATGTGATTGTTCCTCTTTCTTTTTTAAAGCATGCAGCATAGATATCAAAAAATATTTTTTCTCCTACTGTTGACTCTACAAATATTTATAGGTTTTTACTATATACCACACATTTATATTCACTTTCATAAATTTGCTAAAAGAATTAAAGAACTATAACCAAATAATATAAAAAACTGAAGAATACTTCAAAAATTCTTTTGTTTCCATTCCACTTCTGGAATTCCACTTTAAGTAAGATGCCTGGGTTTATATAAATGATTCATTTTTATCATATATCCCTGTAAAGACACCTAAAAGCAATGTGGTTTGTCAACTTAAAACCAATGAGGAAAACCTTATTTTTCTCTTTATCCTGCATGTTAAATCAAGGAAAACTAATAAAGGAGATGAACTGAGTAATAAATATAGGCATTATTTTATTTCTTCATCAACTGACAAAGCCAATAAATGATAAAAATGTTATGAGTTAATATTTATCCAAAACGGAGTAAAATACTTAACAAAGGAAATTAAACACACATACACAGAAATACTGATATTTCTTTCCCTGGGAAGAGACAAAAGTAGCACTGTTGATAAATAATATTTAAAACAAAAAGCATTATTTTAGCAATTTAAGCAACAACATACATGATGTCTCTCTAGGAAATAAGAACAGGAAATGGTGTGTTAACATTCAGAGCACTATTTTCTTTCTTTTTTTTTTTTTTTGTCTTTTTTCGTGTCCGGCAACGGATCGCAACCCTCAGTGTCGCGCCCATACCGGACCGGGACCGGCAACGGGATCGCAACCCTCGGTGTTGCTCCCATACCTCGCTCAGCCAGTGAGCGGGAACCGGTCTGTATGTGGGATCCGAACCCTCGGCGGGAGCACCACCACGCTCCCAAGCGGCACACTGTAGCAGTGCACCACCGGGCCGGCCCCAGAGTACTATTTTCAAATTCACTATCCACATGTAGTATTTTAAGTCCTAGTTCTTTATTCACTTTTTAGTATTTCATGTCTGAATCTTGCTGGGCAGCATTCATTTAACTGTTCTTGAAATATTCCAAGACCCATCAATTTAAATTTGGCACAGGTACAGTAGATTTTTTAGCTGCAACTGTCTGCAAAGCAAAACATTTGTCAAAAAAGAAAAATAATGTTTTGAGACATGAAGGTAACACCATTACATGTAACCTGCTGGGATGAGAACAGATTATTTAACACACCACCATTCCGGTTACTCACTTATAACCCAAATAATCTAAGAAACAATTTTGTTAGTATTTTTTTTATCTAAAGATTACAATATACTCTATAATCAACCTCTGATGGTATTATGATTTTTCTAGAGGGAAAGACAACTTGTACAAATTCAGACAGCATGTCAGGGGCAACTCTTGTGTTTTTTTCCATTTCAGGCAAACCAAATAAAGAGACTGAAAAGAAAGGTCAGAAGAGAAATGATATTTAAAAACAAATTGTTAATAATCCCCTAAAACAAAGAGAACAACACTTGGGAACATTGATAATTAGAGTAGAAAAGTTCAAAGGTACTTTGAAATACAGGGCTTATAAGTAAAATCTTAATCATATAATGGTGAGAAATCTTTATGAAATCTGATCAATAACATGGATCCAATGTTCCAATTACAGCTCAAAATTAAACAATTCAAATATAATTTAATTTTAAATTGTTTTTAATTAAAAATCGACTGATAGGGAGTTAGGTAGCTAAATGTTTTCAACTTTAGTTTTTTTTTTTGTTTTCCTTTTTTGTCTTTTTTCGTGACCGGCAACGGATCGCAACCCTCAGTGTCACGCCTGTACTGGACCAGGACCAGCAACGGGATCGCAACCCTTGGTGTTGCGCCTGCACCTCGCTCAGCCAGTGAGCGGCTGGTCTGTATGTGGGATCCGAACCCTCGGCAGGAGCGCCGCTGCGCTCCCAAGCGGCGCACTGTAGCAGTGCGCCACCGGGCCGGCCCTCAACTCTAGTTTTAATACGACATTCAACATTAAGTGTAAAAACCATTCTTGTTGCTTAGAAACTTAGTTGCTCAGTTGATATACAAAAATTATTTTGGTCAAGAGTCAAATGAGAACTGAAATGGTCAGAGATAAGATTTTCTAACGAACATTTAGTAAATGGCAATTATTTGTGTTGTCTGGCTACATTATTAGGAACATCTTGTATCTGAGGATCTATACAGCATGATATTTGCTTCAGACAGATGATGGCTTTTTTAGCTTAAAGACAAGGAAAGGAGAAGGGAGCATAATTTATAGTATATTTCAGTATAAATCTGTGTACTCTGCAAATTTTAAGTTCACAACTGTAGTGGATTGAATTACGTCCCCCCTAAACTCATTGAACCTTGAGTTGTGTCCCCCAAGTTTTATGTATTAGGAACTTAGTCTCTGCTGAGACTGTAAAGAGGGTGGGAAATCCTATTATGGTAATTGAAAGGTGAGGCCTTGAAGAGGTGATTGGATTGTAGGACTGTGCAGTAGTGAATGGATTAAAAATGTAGGTCAGGGGCGTGGTTCTGAGGGCTCTAAAAGAAGAGGAGAGTCTGTCTTTCTCTCTCTCTCTGCTCCCACTATCTTGCAATATGAGACCTCTGGGTCACAGTTGCCACCACTAGATGGACTTTGGACTTCCCAGCCTCAGAAACTGTAAGCAATACATTTCGTTTTTCTTTATAAATTACCCAGTTCCAAGTACTCTGTTACAGCAACACAAAACGGACTTATACAACGACCATTTAAATTCGAACTTCAAACTGCTTTACTTAGAGTATAATTTAAAATTTACTAAGTCATTTTGTTCTTAACAAAGCAGCAGAGAATGAAACTGACCACTTCACTAAATGCCTTAAAATTACATAAATGAACCAGAAGTTAAGGAAATAAGTTTATTTTTGAATGCATAAGTAGGTAAGTTGACTATGATTGATTATTATTTTTAAATTACAATTTTAAATGTACTAAAATTCAAATACTTGTGTCAAGCCACCAAATAAACATATATAGATAAGACTCTATCAGTCCGTCATTCTCATTACTTACAAGTTCAACTTCTAATTTCTTCTACCAGCAGGAAAATTAAATAGTCCCTTAGGGATATGTAATAAATATAATCTCTTAAAATTTGTATTATAATATACTTTAAGACAGACAAAATAAACTCAAAGCCTTGCAAATGGACAATTTCTCTTACCTTTCAAAAGCAGGCCATGAGGTCTCTTCACTTAGTTCAGAACCATCACTGCTACCTAAAATCAGAAGTTATGCTACTTTTTAAACATCAAAATTACTTTTCCAGTTTGGGTTTTATATTTTAAAAATGATTTCTCTAACTGTGCTTATAAAATGACAATCACATTGTAGGTGAATATCCACATACTAATTCTTTATTCTAATATTACTGCTGCTGGGTTTATTTTGCAGTATACTGGAATATAATTGACAAGACTACCTAAAATAACAAAATTGGTATAAAACATTTTTGTATGCCTACTTATAGCTAAAATTCATTACGTTAACAATTTTTCCACTATCAGAGAATGTACACAGCATGAAATTTCTCTTATTAGGTCTGTCATAATTTAGGACCAACATAATTATGAAATCCTTAGACGTTCATGGCATATTTCTCTCGCTTTGTATTAAACCCATTACTGCCCTGAAAAAAAAGCTTAATGAAATTCAGTTCTTTGCCTTTAGAAGGTTGAAGAGGATAAAATCCCATTTAAGGGGAAAAAAAAATTGGTGCTATAACAATATAACAACTTTCTCTTTAGCCAGAATATCAATTAAAATGGTCTTCAAATAGAAAGTTTAAAATTAGCTGTGGGGGAAAAAAACTGACGGGAATGAATTTAGAGAGTCCAAAACAGCTTCAATTGACTTAAAAGTAATTTTAAAGAAATTCTGGTTCTCAATAAAATTAAGATAATAAATATGTCAAGTTGAATTGTCTATCAGACTTTCACAACTACAGTTACATGACAGACTCAAACTCTAATGCTGTAAGGTATCCATTATATGTGAGGGGTTAATGCCTCTTCCACATTTGGAATGGCACTAGATATATACAATCCTTGGACAAACTGAGACAAGAGTCACTGAAGTAATTTTATGTATTTTGTCATTCAGATGAGAAACCAGGGGTAAACTCTTGGTTGTAGTGGAGTTTTGTAAATTATTTTTTGGTTTGTAGCATTATGTGGTAAAGACTGAAAATTTAAACCTAAAAAGTACGACTTATTTGTAGAAAATGTAAGCTTTTCCAGAAGTGTCAGCTGAGTGTGAATATGCCTCCCTTAGCTAGGCAGGACTATACCAGGACATATATCTAGGACATGTATACCACATTAGAAGATGTTTGAGGCCACTGTCCCAAGCAATGGGACAATTTCCACAGTACTTTCTCAAAGGCTTCATGGTACAGAATATTAATATTGCATGTAAAAGTTACAGCTAAAGAAAAAACTCTTTTGTGTGTGTATGAACACCCACCATCTTATGGTCACAGACTTATTCTCTTTTCATAATATTAAAGCTTTAAAACAAAAATTCTGGAAGGTAAATGCCTATGTATAATGTTCTTAATTTACAAACAAGAATGCAACAATCTTTTACTATTTACCTACTTAATAGCCTTAGAATAGTCTAAAAATAAACATAAAGACAAAAATCTGCTTTAAAAGAAAAAGGTCTCCAAACTGACTAACTGTAACTGAATGAAATAACTAGTTAACTATTTTGTGGTAACCAAAAGAACATCTATGGATGTAAAAAATACAAGTCAACTAGAAAATAATTATCATTATAATGCTTATGATGGGAAGAACCCAAATATTATATACTTGAAAGCTGTGTAATTTTAAAAATTATTTTTTGCTTTAAGTGGCATGCCAAATTTCATAAGTGTAACAAATTTTTAACTGGAAAAAAGTTCTTCCTTTCTCTTTTGCGAAATTACTCTGTACATTAGTTTTCAGACTGAGGTTGATGTGTGCACATAGGAAATTGAGAAAATTAATAAAGAGGTCTTATTACAGGACACAAATGTGTCCTCTATTTTAAAAATTGTGTCACTATTTAATCATTTGCATTTATAAAAAAGGGAACATCAGAATAAACAACTGCTAAATGGTGCTGGAG